GATGTAAATTGTGTTTTCTATTGCCAAATAAATTGGTTATGTCTCTCTTTTGAATTTATTCTACATCCAAGTGTCGTAGTGTGTGTGTTTGTTTACTTGTGGGGTTGAAGAGGACTGAGGCAGAGAGGCTGTCTGGGTCAACAAGGAGCAGAAAGCTTTCCTCACAGCCTACATAAAGTTCTGATGTGGCTGTCCAGCAGATGGCAGTAGGAGTGACTCTGGCTTTGGTGCACAGTTTAGTCTGTAAACACATGTGGAGTTGGGTAAAAGTTTAAATGTAGTCTTTGTTTTTTGTGCCTGAAAACAAAATCGTTTTTCCATCAAGTAGATTTTTTTTAAATCTAAGAATTACAGCTGTAACACCAACAAAAACATGAATTGGTGAGAGTGTACTTCTTTGGTCGATAGGTGTATTAATGACAGTGGGACAGTACCACAATGCTTTCTGCTTTGTTTCCCTTGAGCCCTGAGATGGCTGTTGGAGGCATCTCCAGGCCAAAATAGGGCAGTTTGTCACTGACAGTATGAGAGGGGGGCACCAATCTCTCAACAAAGGAACCATCCTTTGCTGGAAGCTCTATCACACTGCAATGCAAAAAAAGTGTGATAAACGTACATATTATTGTATGACACCGTATTATGTAGGTGCTGCTTGTGTTTTTCAGTCCACATTAAACTCGCTGCTTATGGTACGAACAGTAAAAATGCAGATAATGTATGTCAATTTATCAGTTAAATACATTTTACATCAAAAATGTAAAGAAAATCTTGTTAAAATATATCAATTTGGATTTTTGAATACTTGCTTGTACAGCTAAGTCTGCTTTACCTTGGTTTAAGAACATGAAAGCTGTCACTCTTCTCAATATTCCAGACAGTGAGGGTTGTAGTGCCCAAAGCACAGAGCTGGAGCCAATTCAGGGGGTTGAACACCAAAGAAATGACATCCTGCCCAGCTTGCGGTTGTGTACAAAGTGGCTCAGCAATTTCCCAGTTCCTGGATCACAGTCATGATTACAGTAACATAGCTACTTAGCCTAAATAAACATAACGGAAAATAGTGCACAATATAAAGAGTATTTATTAGCTTACCACACTGTTATGGTGTAGTCTGGAAAAGAGGAACAGCATCCCAAATAAGGACCGCTTTCACTTAATGTCAGAGATTTGTAGTCAGTTTGTGCAGCTCCTAGGAAAAAATCAATGGGAATTATTTAGTGTTTATCTGAAACATATACATGTATTATTGATGCACAAACAAACAAACAAAACCCAATAGGCTACTGTTGGTAAAATAATGTGATCTTAACTGGAGGGGAAATTCTTACCTTTTAATTCATTCTTCAACTGTAACTCTGGAAAAGAGTACACAAATATAGATGGGGATAGCTTTTCTTCTGAGAAAGCAAAAGTTCCATTTTTGCTATTAGCTGTCAAGGCACCAATGCCTCTTCCAGGACTCTGAAGCACACTTTGCTTTTTTGTCTCCAGGTTGAGGAAACAAATATGACACCCACATGTATAACATACTGTCTTGTTGTCGACAAACTCGATACATTTGTTTGTAAAACCTTGTATCCACCTGGAGGGAGCAAGACAGCCAGGTATTAGCTAGCATACATACGGGGGTTAGCTCCTATATCTCTGTGACCCGTATGTACGCTAATGCGTGAGGCACAAACTAGAAAACAGTGAATTAACAGTGAATATGCGACAGAAAATAAATACATAGATTTATATTTGAAGTGGTGACATACCTGACATCTAAACTTCCAATGTCATCCATTTTAATACAGAAATAACATGACAGAGTTAAATTAAACTTGTTTCCCCACAGATACAACCGACAAAAGAAAGAGTGAGTCTTTGCGTATCCTTGGCAACCAAAAAACTCTTAACGCTATTGGCTGAAACGTTATCGGCGCGCCCATACCGGAAGTACAAGAAACATTAAATAATACAGCCACATCACGCTTGACGAGTACACTCGTCTTTTACACACCTTTTCTGACGGTACTGAGGTTACCAGCTGCAGTGCAAACATGTCTACTGAAAAGAGTTTCGCCAAAGGTAAGATGAACAGCAATTATTCGGATAACTGACGGAGCAAGTCATATTTTGTTAGCGAGCTACCATCTAAACCAAAACGCGTGTTAATGTTCACTTCCTTTAAAATGTAATATTGTCAACTGCATGCATTGCTAAATATCAGTGGTAAGTAAACGAGTACATTTACTCAAGTACTCCAATGAAGACGTGCACTGTACTTTTTTTGCTATTTTGTACATCTACTATTGCAGTAAATCGTGCACTTTTACTGCACTACATTTATTTTATATTTAAACTCTCTTCACGGATTTGCACATCCCGCCAGACGTTTGAGATCCCTTTCTTTACCTCCTCTCTGAATAATGCTGTCATGCTTCAAAACTTGACAAGTAATGACAGATGCGAAATGTCTGCAGAGTCATGATGACTATGCATTATACAATCTGATCAGCTGAGCCCATAAAGCCGACAGTAGCTGTCAGGAGTGCTTTACAAATGACCAAGTCCTTTCATTGAATTGTGTAATGCTTAATTGAAGACTGTATTATTACAGCGTATATATTGACTCTGTGATAATAAATCAAATGTCAGGAGTTCTTCGCCACTGATAGTCCCTCATACATGTGCCTATAAAAGGCCAAAAGGAAAAAGTGTATACAGACCAGTCTTACATTGGTGAAAGGAGTAACTATGTGAGATTCAATATTTAAAGTTGAAGTAGCAATACTAATATGTAAAAATAATCTACTACTTTCAAAAAGAACAAAGGTATTATCAGGCATGTTTGCTCCTTAGAGCCTTAGAGTATCAAAAGTAAGGCGACCATGGATGAAGCATTTTAATGTCTTGTAATTCGTAAGTATGTGTGGTGGGGTGGTGGGTTTGAAAATTATATTTGATCTTTAAAAAAAGGGGGTGAAATAATCGACACCACCTGGGCCTTACACCCCAGAACATAGACACAAAAAGACAATGCAATAAATCAGGACACAAGTTCAAGAACTGAGGGGCATGTTTCAAAATAAAGTAATTTTTATTAAATGTAATCCAAAAAAAAGGAAACTCAGGAAATGGTGCTGCAAGATAAAAATCATTGATTAGAAAACAAGAAATATTCAGTTAAAATTATCTATGATATTATTCCACAAATGGGTTCAAAACTAAAAAGTGGAATGAGGCCAGTTAATGGGGTGGTAGGCTACTGCAAAACAAGCTAAACTAATCAAAACAAACTAAAGAAAAATAATAAACAAAAACTAATTCAACAAAAACAGTGTTAGCTAACAAAAAACAAAGCAAAACACTAAATAAAAATAAAACTAATAAACCAAGGATAAAACAGCACAAAGCAGAAATGTTCACGGCAGCAGGTGAACCTAAAAGCAATGGTTAAAAATGGCTCAACATGTGGCATACAAACAATTCAGGTTCTGCCTTACTCACCACAGGAAGAGGTTTTGTAACCCTACTGAACTTCAGGACAAGAAGCAGAAAGTGAGCATAAAATACTAGTAGAACTGAGACCAATGTATCATATAATAACTTACGCAGCCTACCTGTACCAGTGACCATGACCAAAGAGCCAAAGGAAAGAACAAAGCGCAACCAGGTCCGTTTTATTCTCTGCTCTAATGAGGGGAGTGTTTGGGGAGGAGTCGGGCCTTGAGCTGCATTCAAGAGAATGACCCACTACATATGCATTATAAAAGGATTATTTGTGTGGTAGGTAGAAACAAAGAAACGTGTTACTGTAGCTATAAGATGAATCAGAGTATAAAGCACTTTGAGGTTGAAGTACAAAGTGCCATGAAATGGATACGTGAATGTAGGGCACAATGATTTAAGTACAAGACGGTAACAGGTCAGATTCAATGTTAATTTTTACATAATATATAAATGGTAGAATACATAAATCACGTTTCCCTAAGCACTTTGTCATGTTCTTGTTCTCACAGGAAGTGCTGCACCTGGTCCAGTCCCGGATGGCAAAATCAGACTTTACAGCATGAGATTCTGCCCTTTCGCCCAAAGGACCAGATTAGTGCTGGCTGCCAAAGGGATCAAGTAAAAAAACATTTCATGATGCTTTACTTTACATTTCCATAGATCTATAGATTGCCATTGTATTAAAATAAATACCTGTAATCCATGCTTTTGATTAAAAATGCAAAACCTGTTTTCCCTCTCAGGCATGAGACCATGAACATCAACCTGAAGGACAAACCTGAGTGGTTTCTTAAGAAGAATCCTCTCGGGCTAGTCCCAACCCTGGAGAACCCCTCTGGGGAGGTGGTATATGATTCTCCCATCACCTGCGAGTACCTGGAGGAAGTTTACCCTGAGAAGAAGCTGCTTCCTCCCTCTCCTTTTGGTAAAGCCCAACAGAAGATGATGCTGGAGCATTTTTCCAAGGTATCTTATATAAGGACTTCTTAATCCTGTTCTTTTTTTAGTGTACATGTCTACTGTTAGGACCATGAGATAGTGGAATAATGCTTTTGTTTTCTACAGGTAGTACCTTACTTCTACAAGATCCCAATGGGGAGAAAGAATGGCGAGGATGTCTCAGCACTGGAAGGAGAACTGAAAGAGAAGTTTGCCAAATTAAATGAGGTAGGTTGCAAAGTTGAGTGCTTCTTTACACATTCACCAGACATGTGGTGTGGTAGATTGTCACAAGGAAATAGTTTAAGCACAACTGATTCTTTATGAATCGTAAATAACCGTCAAAGATAATGAGTGAGTTCACCCAAGTGTCTGTCTTCGATGTCTGTACCTGGCTAGTTTTCAGTGTTTTACAACATAAACATAATTTTTTCAGGACCTAGTTAACAAGAAGACTGGGTTCTTTGGTGGTGACTCCATCACATTGATCGACTACATGATGTGGCCGTGGTTTGAGAGGCTGGAGCTTATGAAACTCAAACAGTAAGTAACAACTCCTCAGGACATTAAAAAATAAATACATTTTATTTGTGGAAGCATTCCAAAAACATTCAAGGTAACCATAGAGAAGACGAGCAAACTGTTCAAATATGAGGTAAAGTCCAGAAGCAAGACTTGAAGAGCAGGGAATCTCACCTGAACAGATATGAATCTTGTGTTTATATGTTGTGATTTAATTACTTATTCAATTCCCGTTGTTATTTCAGCTGCCTTGGTGGCACACCTGAGTTGAAGAAGTGGACAGAGCGCATGTCAGAGGACACGGCGGTCAAAGCCTGCATGCACAGTGCAGAAACCTACAAGGCCTTCTACAAGTCTTACCAGGAGGGGAAGCCAGACTATGACTACGGCCTGTAGAACAGAAGTGATCAAATCTAAAACCGTCCCATTTTTCTATTCATATCCAGGTTTGGGATCATGTCTGTGTTTACAACTTTGTCATAGGAAAATATTTTGCAACAGATATCATGAGTTAACATTAAATGGATACAGGAATTGTGTTTATTGGAAATAATAAGTCTTGATTTGTTATTAAATAAATATTAAATATAAACCTTAATGAGGTACGGAAAGGAAAATATGACTCAATGTTTTTTCAATAATGTGGCACTTTTTTTCTAATAAAAAATGTAGATGATATGACTCTAGTCTGTGTGATACACTAATAAACGAAATAATGTTTTTCCTCCTTGCTTATCAAGGTTGTCCAATTTAATAAATTGACAACACAGTAGAAATGTAATAGGCACAACAATATAACACACTTTGCTTTTATAATAGTAAAAAAACATTGAACATCACAAAATGTAATAGTTGCCATGAGATTGAAATTGATATAAATGAAAACAAAACCACAGCTTTACTGTTAGGAAAAAGATTCCCTGGTTAGACCGGCATTATCAGGTATTTCTGTAAAATGTTACCCCAACAAAAACAGCTATTTGGGTATTTTTTGTTAAATGGTGATAATTTAAAGCAGAGGGATATCTACTGAAAATCTCTCATCCAGGTTACATCTGCAAAACAAGCAATATGAATTAAGTGGGGCTGCATGATTTGTAAATAACAACTGACTGATATGATTAAAAAAACTGAAGGAATTGTTTATTTTTAAATCATAGTTATCAATATTCATTGGAAAGTATATTGATTGTACAGACGATCCATACCTTACAATGTTTTGGTAAGACTGTAGAGTAGGATTTGTTGGCTGGGATATCTCTTACAGCTGTACAATACTTTATTCAAAATTGTATACCAACACGTATTTAGACAAATATTGTGCTTCCTGCAATTTGAATATTGCACTTGTCTATACTTTGAATTTTGATATCATTTCGAATAATTGTGCAGCCCTACCACCTTTAAGCTTCAGAAGCGATCCTGCAGACTTAATTTAACAAGGCAACAGCTCAAGTCACCACATGATTTCAAGAGAACTGTTGTATGTTCACCTTTTCATTTGAGTACTCGTCTGGTGTAACTATTTATAACATTGTTCGTAGTAACATTGAATGATATTTAAAGATCAGTTGGTGGTTTCCTTTTGAAGAAACCCTGGCCTAAGCTCACACATTTTCCTCTAGCCTGTGGTGTAAACCTCCATTTGATAAGGGCGGTGTGAACTCCTGTATGAGCACAGGTGCATTTCTCAACATCTCTTTGAAATGCCTGACTGTTGCGGCATAAAGCTCCCTCTGCAAAAATAAAGAACGGAACAGATTGATGGGCTCTGCTTTGCTAATAACCTCAGGCAGCTGCACTTCTTCCGGCACTTGACTGTTCCCAATCAGAGCGTGATGAAGTCTCTTCTCATGTAGGCTCCTCTGCAAGAAGCTGAGCACATCCCGAAGCCTTTGCTCAGTATCCTCAATGCCCCACACAGAGGGCCTTTTACTCAGCAACAAGTGCAACAGGGCAGTCTTTAGGTGGTAGTTAGTGAGGGCACTTTTCCCCGTGAGTACCGTTTGCTTTCTGTGTAGAAAAGTCACAATCTGAAGGCAGTGTAAATGACAGGAGTTTTGTGGCAGGCGTTTAGCAAAATGTTTCAGCAAACTCCTCTCGTAGACAGCAAGCGAGAGGGTCCAGTAAGGGTCGGGAGAGCTGACATAATCTGATGGAAAGTGTGGGACAAAATAAGCATCCGTACCTTCCAACTGAACAACGGGTATAATGTTCATTACGATGACTTTCCACGAACGGAATCGGATCTTGAGTGCACCGGCTGCATCCAGGTGGCCAAATGTAACCTCAAAGTCGTATTTGTGAGAGATGCGGCCCCACGCTTTGGTTAAAGTGATCTGAAACCACTTCGTGACTTGATCTTTAGTCAACAAATGAGTGTTTCTAGAGCACAGCAGTTCTTCAGGACTATGTTCCACTTGGACTGTGTCTTCCCCCCCATGCAACAGACAGAGCATGTCCTCCCCCAAGTTAGCAGAGCCACAAAGACATCCCTCCTTGTCCTCCCGAAAGCCGTCCACCTTTATCTTACCACAGCCCTGCATGTCTGGAGGCATGTCACAGGAGGGGCTGCACCACAAGTCAAACTGGAAGGAGTACGGATCTGGAGGTGAGAAAGGCACTATAAGGTCGCACGTCAGTGGCTTGCACACCTTCCAAGACTCAAACATGCTTCCAATCCCGACAAAGTCCCCAACTTCCATGTCTGCCTCCCCGTCACAGACACTCCTGAGCGACTCCAGCAAGTCATCGGCAAAACCCTCGACAAATTCCCTCACTCTCCAGTTTTCATGAGACAAAGTGTAGTTGGATTTGTCGCAGAAGTTGCTCAGGACAACCTTATCCAGCACCATCGTCCTGGGGGTGATGACACCACTCTCTGATAATAGGTCTTCATCCTCAACCGGACGTATTTCTGCGTCAGAAAGATTCACCCTGCACATCTCAATCGTGAAGAAAATGACAAAAGACACGGTGCTCCACAAGTACCAACTGTATCCTTCCTCTGAGCTAGATTGCTCTTCCTGCTTTGAGTCCAACTGTGAAAGCTCATTCTCCAGCCTTGCCTGCTCCATTTCCAGCCTCTCCTGGTGCTCCCGCATTCGAGCGATCACCTCATCTTCCTGCTCTGGAGGTGTGGTGTTCTCTTGGGGAAAGAGCAAGGGGTGGTTTAATATGGCAGCAGTCACCACCATACACACTCGTGCAATGGCCCCCTGCATCTTCAGCTTGTTTCTAACAAACACACATTGAAGCACATCGCAGATGTCTGGGCAGATGTAGCTCAGACCCTGAAACAAACACAGAAACAGTTGGATTTTATTGAGAAGACAAGTGGATTGAAGACAAAAATAAATGTTAGCATGCTGAATAAAACATAAAGAACACGATATATGAAAAAACAATCCAGCTATTTTTGTAAAACACTCCATTGGGAAGCATAGATTGATACAGCTCTAAATATAGAGGCAGTGGGCTGAGTCACGCACTCGTCCAGTATCAGAGTGTGAAACATGGGAGGAAAGAACATTGGGCCTTTCTCTGATAACCCTATTTTGTAACTAACTTTGTGCCTGTTAGCATTTACATCCTGTTAACAGTTTGTCCCTGCAAAAAAAGAACAACACCCTCTTCCTGAAAAATATCCCCAAAAGACTATATATTACATTTGGCTTATAAGTGAAACATTGTAGGGAACACTCGCCTTGACGTTATTATGTTCCTTCCTGAACGTCATCAAATAAGCAAGAAGTAATGCAATAAACTACAGAACAGGAAATGACACAAGTCTCTTGCTTATGTTCCAAGCTCTTGGTAAAAGTTAAAGAGACAACTGCACACTGCTCTGTTAAGGACACACTGAATTCGTTTTTACTATCATTGTAATCTTAAAGTACTACATATAGTGCCCTCAAATGGGACTTCTAATAAGTAAACAAGAAAAGGGAACATCATGATCTCACAGTACGATCATAAGATTATGAGCTGTTCTGTCAGAGTTCACATTTAAAATGACAGCAGAAGTGGCAGCGTGTGTGTGTGTGTGTGTGTGTGTGTGTGTGTGTGTGTGTGTGTGTGTGTGTGTGTGTGTGTGTGTGTGTGTGTGTGTGTGTGTGTGTGTGTGTGTGTGTGTGTGTGTGTGTGTGTGTGTGTGTGTGTGTGTGTGTGTGTGTGTGTGTGTGGCCACAGAGCGCAGGAAACTTCCCATGACTAACTCACTGGGCTGTTCTCCAACACCAACAGGGCTCAGTCCATCCAAACAAACATTAATCCAGACAGAGAGAGGACTGTACTGCATTTCATTAAAAAAAAATTTGAGAGGTAGCCTATTTATTACAGAACATGTGTAGGCAATATAAAGCCTGAATCCTTAGCTAGTTTTTTGTTTCTGAGTTGAATACTCTTAGTTACCACTATATACAAATAGTAAAGTATCATCACATGAAAGTTCTCAAGTAGGCCTAAATTGTCTATAGCCTACAGTACTTGAGTAAATGTACTTAGTAACATTCCACCACTGGTAAATGTACTTCTTTACTCTCCACTGCTGCTTTGTAGCTACTTGAACAACATTATATAACTTCTATTACCCCTGCTGAGTAAGCAGCCCTGTTTTAGGCTGCTTAGTACTAAGCAGCCTAACTGTAACATGTTTCCATCACACACTATGACGTGTCTGTGTACTTGTACAGTTATTGCACAGTGCCAAATGTTACCTCCTTGGTTGTCTTAGCAACACAATAGTGACTGAGTAACCGCTCGGCTCATCATGGAAATGTCGCGGTAAAAAAGATAAAACACCAGAAACATGAGTCACTTTAAAGCTAAACAAACAGTACTCTGTGTGTCGATGTGTAAAGATTTGACGACCACGACAAAGTCAAGTTTCCCTTTTAGCAAACATACGTAACAGGCATCATCTGGGGGACTTAATTGCACGCTTGAACGCACACGACACTTTGTCGTTGTACCGTTTAGTAAAACATTAAGAATACTACTATGGTGTAGAAATAGTTGATTCAAACCTACCTTTATGCCGTTTTCCCGTTACGTCCATCCTGATAAACGTATGTTGGGCTCTCCGGTTTACGCATCCTCACCAAACTCATATGGGAGGGAAACCGTTTTTTTCTCTTACTCATTTCCTGACTTTGTGCTCCACCCATAAAGGAAGACACCGCCCAGCTTCCTCTCCTCAACCAAAATAGCCATCTTAAACTGAGAGGAGGGTGTTGTGCCTGAACATTTCCATTTATTTCCTGGTATTATCATATTATTTTCTCAGCTTTTGAAATGTCAAGATGTCTATTTACTTCATCGCATAGTGAACTAATACAAACCTGCCTTTTTTCACTGTTGCCAGATTTATTTGGGGAAATTTGCAAATTATGCATCTATTACTTGGAATGTGTCAGATCAATTATTTATCAAAGTAACCATTTGAAGCCAAGCCAGTGTTGTAAATTAACTAAGCAGGCTACATGGTCAGGACTCCTTGGAAGAAGAGATCTTGTATCTCAATGGGACATTCCTGGATAAATAAAGGATAAATAAATTAAAAATTAAAAAATTTACTCATGTACAATTTTGACCTATTTGTACATTACATGAGAGTACCTCCATTTTCTGCAACTTTGTACTTGTACTTACAATTCAGAGGTAAATATTTGTACTTTTACTCCATGACATGTACTTTAAACCTTCAGTTACTTTGCAGATATGGATTAATGATATAAAATGTGACATTAGTTACACCTGGATTGATATCATACCCAGCAGTAAATAAAGTAATTAAAATGAGTTCCACGTTTACCAGCTATGATAAACACATTAATACCTCCATAATTATAATAAGTACATTTGATTTGCACAGTATATGATTGTGAAATGGGGCAATTTGCATAGTAAGAACTTTGACTTTGAGTACAATTTTTAATGCATGACTTTTACTTGTAACAGAGTATTCCTACACTCTAGTTCAAGACTTAGTTCCCATAAAATAATACTTATTGGTAGACACTTAGACACAGGAACATGGATGTGGGTACAGGAGAGGAAAAGAGATATGAAAATAATCAGGATTTAGCACACTTTAAAATTACTTAATAATAATAATAAAACAATTGTGGGAAGCAGTGTTTTTATATTGAGAGAGTGCAATAGGATATAAGATGTACTGTGGTATTGCAGTTTTAAATTAGTTTAAAAAAATATATTATAATATCTCAAATAGACATGTCATAATTTCACAGCATATTACAAACCAAAATTGATGTAACACTTTGATAATAAAACTTGTATTGAGTTTGATTGCACAATATACACAAGCTGCTTGACCAACATCATTACATCAACACTGTCAGAGAGGCACAATTCTGAGTAGGCAATGTAATCTTTTTGAACAATTTCATACAATTTCACAACTGCTAATATTAGTGGTGCAAGACCTCTTAACCCATTATTGAATACTTATCATATATTATGAATTTTCCCCATAATACCATGTTGATCACAGGATTCCTCGAAACTTTAAAGGCAAGGCAAGTTTATTTATACAGCACCTTTCAGCACACGGCAACCCAGTGCTTTACAAAATACAATTAAAGACATTTAAGAACAAATACAGTGGAAGCACATAAAAAAAGGCATTTAAAAACAGGCATTTAAAAAACAAAGATAATAAAATCAACAACCGGTATAAAATACATGGATAAAAAGCCATACTGCAGTTTGAATCCTCATTCAAATGCAGCCTCAAAAAGATACATTTGTAATCTTGATTTAAAAGTATCAACAGTTGCAGCTGACCTGCAGGATTCAGGCAGTTTGTTCCAGATGGTCGGGCATAACAACTAAATGCTGCTTCCCCATGTTTAGTTCTGACTCTTGTAGCAGAGAGCAGACCCGCTCCAGAAGACCTGAGACTCCTGGATGGTTCATATTTTTGCAGGAGATCGTTAATATCATTTGGACCTAAAACATTTAATGCTTTAAAACCAGCAATAGTGTTGGAATAATATCGAGGCTGCAGGAGGAGGATTTCAGATGTTGAATAATGTCCTCCAGGTCTTTATAATTTATCTGACGGAATTGTGTCATGATGTCTGAATTGACTTTAGGTGGACACAGGGACAAAACATTTGCTGTACCTGGTACAGAGGCACTGACTGCTTGTCTAATTTTCATAATGTTGTCAGTGAAGAAGGAGGCGAATTCATTGCAGGCCCTGGTGGATAGAAATACAGAGGCTACTGACACTGGGGGGTTGTTAGTCTGTTGACGGTTGCAAACAGGGCGCGTGAATTGTTTTTATTTTTAGTAATGATGTCAGAGAATAAAGACTGTCGTGCCTTTTTTTTCTTCCTGATTATAGATGCAGAGTCTCTCTTTATATCTTTCCAAGTGAACTTGGAGATTTGTTTTTTCTCCACCTGCGTTCAGCTTTTCTACACTCTGTTTTTGCTGTTCTCACGTTCATGGCTTTTCTCCATGGAGATATTTTCTTGCCAGATACTTCCTTTATTTAAATTCGCCTTTTACAAAGTTTAACTAGAGACAGAAAGACTCGGGTTAGAGGACACATAGTGTATGTGTCAGTGTAGATGTTTACATGATGTAAGAGTGTCTTACATCATGTAAACATCTACACTTACAAAAAACACATTCAAGCAGAAGAATTTAATTTAGCAATCACCCTCTCTGCTATTCGTCTTTTGCCACTTTTTTGCAGGGTTTGGATCAAGGTAGTTCGGGCCTGACTGCCCTCCTTCTCCACAAACCCCTTTAGAAGTTCGAGTGTCTGCTCCCGAGCGTCACCAACGTGGTTCAGCTTACAATTCTCAATAAAAGTGTCTAGCATACCGCTGCGTGTTGCTACAGCCTTCATATCCGTCCATCCAATTATTTCTGCAATGTCAGGCAGGTCGCGATCAATAAGTGGTTCTAACGTGAAACAAAGGAAAAGGCACTTATCATAACAAATCACAACACACATCATCACAACTTTATTGAAATTGTATCATTTTGATTTAAAGATTTTAAATATTTAAAAGTATCAAAGTAAAACGGAAATCAAGCACAATCCATACTGCAATCCAACCTGATTTCAGACCTCTCCAGTTACTCAGATAAGTCTGGTTTTGTACTAGTACACAGTGGTTAAAAAAAACACCTGTGGCAATCAGAGCTTTGTAGGCAGGATTGTGCAAGAGCCATAAAAAATAATACAACTATAAAAAACGCAACAGGTAAGTTGCCAAAGAAATGGTAAAATAGCGTATATGAGATTTACAGGTTTTAGTTATACGACCTACAGATTATACCAACTGGGAATAAATTGACGTATCACTTCATTAGCCATGACAACTAATACATTGCACTGCTTCTTGCACTGCTACTAGCTAACATGTTGACGAAGAAGGATTTTAACACAATATCCGAGTGAATAATGATAAATGTCAGTCCAGTCTTTCTTCTAACAAACTCAAAATATAGAGAAATAGCAATTATACCTCTAATGTTGCATCAATTTGAAAAAGGTGCATTGATGTTTTTCTTACCTTTAAGGCACGGAATCTCCTGAGAAACAGAAGAAGAATGAATGTTAATAAACAAATTACAACTCTGATAAAATAACAAACCACTTACACAATCTTTACAGATTTCAAATAGTATGTCCATGCCACAATAGTACAGACACAAAACAAGCACACTAACATTTACACCAAAGGTTTCAGAAAACTAACCTGCACCTCCTACAGAAAGGGGCAGCTTTGCCAATAATAGAGAAGAGACAGAAAATTGTAAATCATACGTGCACATGTGTGCTGAGGTGAGTTAAAACAGGACTAAGCCAAAACATCTCAGAAATGGATGAAAAGAGATCACAGTGATGAATAGCTTACCAAACCACCAGCACGGCCATTTCTTTCTTCGTCTGGGGTATTATTTCCTTTCAATTGTGAGACAAATAATCAAAAAACAAGACACATTGTTAAAAAGATACGAAAGCAGCAATTACATCTGAAGGTTTCTTGATTTAAATTTGAAGTGCACTGGATTTAAAGACTCAAAACAATTATACAGAATGGAACATATCAAAGCAAATTAAGAAGGATATATTGTATCCCGTTATGATGGACTTGAAACAATAATAGGATTTGAACTGGTGTGCTTGAAAAGTGAAAAAAGAAAAGAAGAAAAGCCCCTCTGTCAAGCACTTTGACAATGTTTAATGTTATGCTGCTGATATAAACATGTAAATAAATGTAAGAAATAGAATGTGAACATTAGTATTATTCCTTTGCTTTCCTATTTTTATTGAGAAACACACTGTTTTAGTGCCCTCTGCTGGTCTTTACATATAGTGGTAAAGTAGTAGAAATACTCACGGTTGCGTTTTCTTATCCAGAAGAATCCAAGAAGTCCAAGAAGAAGTATTAAAACAATTGGGACAGTTAGGCCAACTATCAACCCAGTGTTAGACCCCCCTGAAAACACAAGATACAATTAATAAATGAGATGGCAATGTAATAATTGAAGCCCCCCTAATGCAATAATGCCTAACTATGGCATACCTTCAGCTTTCTCACTGCAGACTGTGTTATTGGTGGTTGTACAGGCTACTTTGACACCCTCAGTACATCTGGAACCAAAATAAAAGCAAGTATGAGAAACCATTAAAGGTCCCATGTCATGGTCATTTCTACTGATCATAATTCCATTGTTGAGGTATACTAAAATAGATTTATATTGTGTAATTTTCCAAAATCGCATTGGTTTCTCATACAGCATCTCTGTATAGTATGTGTATGTCACTCTCTGTCCTAAACGGCTTGTTGGAGCTCCTGCCCCCCCCCCCCCTCCCTATGAGCCCAGTGGCCGCCTGCGAGACACAGCGAAACCCAGCCTGAAACCAGCCCGAATACACACACACACCCACAGCCTGGCTGTGAGTTTGTGTGTGTGCTCACACACCGACTCACAGCCTCGCCGCGTCCCGCCGTCTCAGGCGGAGAAATCGGCGGAGCTGCAGCTGAGTGTGTGTGAAGATTCGTAAATCTAATAGTTAACATTTGAAAGATCAGAACTTACTCTTTACAGGGGTAGCAGATTCGACAGGTTTCTTTACCAATACTGCAATAGTGATTGTTTTTGCATCGACACGTGGCATCTCTGGCACGGGTGCAGGTTACGTCCAACTCTAGATTGGCTAAAAGGACCGTAAAAACACATTAAACATTAGAAGGACTGACATACATTTGCATTGCTTTCAGGAACAGTATTTTTCCTATGAAGTCTGGTGAAGTCCCATTATGTCTTTACCATTGGGATGTGAGCAGGATGTGCATGGCTCACAGGATTCCTGGAAATGAGGGTGACTGCTGTATGTCCCTTCCCTACAGCTTGTGCATTTTCCAGGTTGAGTCGTAGTGCAGTGGCTCTCCACGAACGTACCTACAACATTAACACACATGAGCCAGAAGAAAATATATGTGGCCAACTTATGATTTACACACCCACTATATGCAAACCAAGTGTAAATTAGTATTGTAGCCTCTTTGATGGCAAAACAGACACCAATACATTGAAATGTCCTTAGCTTAGCTTAAGGTTCTGTGTCAAAAAATACAACAGAAATAGAATTATGCCAAGAAATAATGTATAGGGGCCCCAGATAGAAAAAAAGGGCCCAAAAGACCATGACCTGTGCAGCAGGGGTTTTGTGGTGACATCTAAACAGTTGTCCTAATACAAGAGATTAGACAGCTGCATTGGTTTCCTGTACGTCAAATAATTGATTTCAAAAGACAATGCTGGTTTATAAAGTAAAGGGCCAAAATATATTTCTTCTCAGGGATGCTTTGTGTCTAGAGTCCAAACTATCTGATACAGATTACAATAGTCATTTATTTAGATTCAAGGCAAAGGACATTTGTTTGCATTGGTCTCATTGAAGATCAAAAATAAACGTTATTCTTGAGGCCCTATAATGTGAAAGTGCCCTCAAAAACATTATTGATTGATTTATTAATTCAGGATCTTAAGTAGCTCAGTAAACATTAATCCTACATAGTCCTTCATTACATAATGAATCCAATTGTATCCAAGATAAACCACCTTCTTAAAAAAAGGAAACAGCTAAACCTTAACCTGATTATTATGTTTCTATGAAGTGTACATACAGCCCCTGACACTTACCAGCACCACACAGACAACAGGTCACACCCTCGTGCTCATACGTGCCATCAACACACTGCTGGGTTTCCCTTAGAGCAGATGACAAGTCCCTGGAAAAAAACACATACATACATCTGAAAATCATTTCTTAATTTTCACATTTTCTCATAGAACTGTTCTTAAAGCACTGAAATACACAAAATAAATAAGCGTTTGGAAAATGATGCAACGTTTCTCCCTGAAACCTCAGACTGTACGTGTTTATATCCAAGAACGTGGTCCACTTCCGTCTTTCTATACAGCCAAATTGTATTTTAACATTCGTATTATAGGCTGTGTAGGCTATATATTTATATTGCGAACAGTGGTTCTGTATGATCAACTGATTTTTGTTTTCCTTTTGACCTGGATATAAGACTGAGAACCAAAAAACTAAACTGAAACTAAAGTATTACAAAACGATGTCTATCACAATTTCAAGACGGTAGCCTATAACTATTATAACGTTTTAATAAAATCGCTTTCCTTAAAGTTAGATTTTACGTAGCCTATCTATCTTGATCTCAGGTGTTGTAATTTCTGTCACAAATCGATCTGAACCTCTCCTTTTTATAGCGACTTAACGCCTGTACATCGGGTGTATACAGCTCATAAACGCCATCTCTGTGGTAACTTTACTTACACCGATCGAAGATAAACCAAACCGACGATGAAAAACCACGAAGGAAACTTGCTTGAATCAGCTGTCTTCATGTTGTATCTTTATAAAATGTTGTAACCGAATTAAAAAGTAAATGCCTGCTTACAGTTACCGCCCTACTGCCTACTGTGAAACTATGGAGGCGGGTTTCAGTGTTGTTATTCCTACTTGCTTTCAGTTTCGATCCCCAATAGAAAATGAATCATGCTTTTTTTGGTATACATTTCAATAAAACCTGTGCATGAAGTAAACAACTGAGAGGTGTTCTGTATGTTATCAAGTGTAATAATGCAGTGGTGAAAGTAGGCTAATGTTGTAACTAGTGATGTTATGTATTTCGCCGAGGCTTCGGAGCGTGTGTCGAGTAATCCCCGAAGTTTTTTGTGAGGAATGTATCGAGGCTTGTATCGTTTTGGGCCAGTGACGTCATCGATGACAAACGATGCCACGTGACTGCTTCAGGAAGCGATTCCGATCGGTTGAACCGTTGAACCCTCATTATACCATGGATGTATAATAATAAGAAGTGAACCATGGAATGGAATGGAATTAAAAGAGCTCAGACCCTCACTTATATAGAGGTCGGAACATGTCATAAGTATAAATAGATACAATCATAAATAAATGTAGGAATAAAAACATGAATAAATACAGGAATACATATCGTTCAGTGTTTTCAGGGGAAATCAGCATGTGTGCTGTGGCTCAGCTAGAAAGCAGTTGACTCATGATCGCAGGGTCCCTGGTTCAACGACTGAAGAACACGTATTTTTTGTTGTTTATAAAGCTACAGCTAAATGAGATAATGTAGTTAATAAATGTATTCTTTGATATGGTTTAGCCTTTCTCAGGCTACAACATGGTTAAGTTTATGAATATTATAAAGGAATACACATCTCTCTTTGCAATGTTTACCAGCCTCCTTAGGCTTTTCAATCACAATCATTCAACTGGAATAAAAACAATATTGTTAACATGAAAATATGATAATGTTCGTTGTTTAGAGTTATTCTAAGGCTTTACTCATTGGGGACACAGTATGAGATACAGCACACTGTTGAGATGTCCAATCTGCCTGTTTTACACACTTTGACCAACAGGGGGGGTTGTGTTCAAATGAAGCCCACGATGAAGCCTCATGAGATGAATGAACCCTTTTGCAAACCAATTGGCTGGAAAGCTTCAAAGCTCCATAAGGCTTCATCTCGCCATCACTAATTGTAACTAAGTGCAATTTCTAAGATAAGTATACTTGTAATTTATTTAAGTATTTCTATTTTATCCTACTATATATTTCTACTCGGAGGAAAATAAATGTAGGCTACTATTCCAAGGTCTTATAGTTTCTTTGTAGGCTTAGATTATTAAGACAAAATACACATCAACTAATACTATGATATATAATGTAATATAATATATATATATATATATATATAATATAATGTAACTCATGTCCTCGGTGACCTCAATAGGATAGCTCCTGTTAAAAGGACACACGCTCTTTCCATTTGTCTTTCGAATAATTGACAATGAATGGAAAGTCAGCATTACTTATGGTTTGAAGATTTCCTGACTGGACTGTTTTTTTTTTTTTAGCTAAACTCAATTTGGGCCACTAGATGGTGATATTGCTCTTGGTTCAGTATGAAGGCTTGAAGGGTTTGCAACTGCTGCTGATGGTCCTTTCAAACTATATTATTTTAAAAAGGCAAAACAAACAGCAGACCTTTCCCATTTGCATAGATATGACTAATACAGTGTGCTTTGAGCTAAATTATTAAATTAAGTTAGAATTGATTGCATTAAAAGCACACAACCAAACTTATGACGAAGCTTACCTGGCTAAATTATGGTTGTAATGCTTTCTTTTTTTTTAATCACGGCCTTTTGTAATAAATCAATAATCATTGCCATATTGGCACAACCAGTTATGACAAATGTCTGTCTTTGTACCTTATAAACTTAATTCATAAAGTCCTTGTGGAGTAATGAAGCTCCTTATATACAAGCCTTTTTCTGTTACAGGAAATCCTTTCTATCTGTGCGACTAAGAAATGTATTTCCAACCCCCGCCCCATACGCTTAAAAAACACCATATTTGTTTGATCTCTGCCAAGTGCGGTTAACAGCAAAATTATCTTTGAAAAAAAGTGAAGAAAAACACTAATTCCCCATCCAACATTTGGATGGGGAATTAGAATTTAACTTGAAGGAGACCTCCTGTAGGATTTGGTTGTTTTTGCAAGTGTATCAAATTTCAGCCCTTTGTAGTCGCAGTGAGTCCCAGTGTCAGATTTGTACCAGTCTACTGCCTGTTCATTTGGTCCCCACTCCGAGAGCACACGCACGTGCACACACACACATACACAGGTTTTTTAAGCTATAGAATGGCACTATTGAAATGTCACATGGTCATTCCACCACTTTGGTCCCCAGAGAATGAAGACGATTCACTAACTTTTCTTCTGGTCCTGGAGTGAGGTTAACTTTATACGCGGTTGATATATATTTCAACTAGTGCTATCACCTGGTCAGAATTTAATTTATCCTAAATGTATGAATAAATAAGCGCAAAACAAAAAATATTCTCATCCATCTCAGCTTTATGTTTGTGCTAAACAGCAAATGTAAGCATGCTAACAAGTTAAACTCAGATAGTGAAGCTGAAAAACATAATATGCTAAACACCAGTCTGTTAACATTGCCATTGTTAACATGCTAGCATGATATAGCTCAAACTAGCACTGAGTACAACTAGTACTTACACACAGCACCTACTAACAGAGCATTTAGCAAGGCTGTAGTAGATCCTTTGTATATTGGCATTTATTTCCCTATATAATCAGAGTTTAAAGGTTACATGTTTTAGAAAGCAAAAACCTGTAACATTTAATTTCTTTCTGCAGCCTTTTCACTATAATTTATTTGTATTTTGAAAGAAGAAACTGTTTACAAAATGAGCTATAAAAATGAAAAAAAAGTCCCTTGAAGGATTGTAACATAACATGGAGATCATACACTTCAAATCTAGGAAGTCAATCCGATGGCCTAATTCAGGATAAATAAGTGGACGAGTTGGACATGATCGTCTTGGCACAAACACATTCATTTTGGTGCCTCATTCTGTTGTAAGTGGGCTAATGCTTAATGTAAAAAAAGCATATAACACTGCTTCAATAAGAGTACGACTCTCTTCCACTCTGCTGTACTGCAACAAAACCAAATAACGTCAAAACCACCAGCGGAGCAGTGCAGCTCGCAGATTTCAGCTATTTGGAAAGACATTATCATCCTCGGCCAATGTGTTCCGCCTCCTATCGCCCCCAGGTCATATGCAGAATAAGGCAGAGTAATAGCTCCATTGAGATGGAGGGGAGGGAAAATAAAATAAGACAATGTTTTTGTTGTTTGGAAGAAGCTGCTGGAAGGGACTGTGCTGCAAAGCCTCCCCCAGGGACACAGAAGAGGAGGGAGGAGATGCGTCAGGGAGGCAGAAGCTAACAGCTCTTCTGTTGGAGCAAAAGAAGCACCAGACAGAAAGAGAGGAGACTTCACTGGTTGTGATGCTCGTGCATTCTGTAGTTCATTAATGCTGTTATATATTTTAGTGCATTTCATTGCACTGTGTTCTAGAAATTGGGTCACAACAGTGTAAACTCTAAATACCCAAGCAAGTCCATAAATGTTTCTAGAGATGCTGCGACATGCATGCCAGTGCCATGCTGATATATCCCACTATAGTACACTATATTTCCTTAGGTTGAGCTTCTTCTTCATCAAGCTCAATATTTTAGGCCTACAGCTAATCTTGACATAATCCATGACCACGATGAATGTGTTTTCACATGAAACCGTGAATTTGAAATCAATATTTTCAAAAGATATTAGCTTTACTCTTTCATTGTTAAGGAGCTATGCTGCTGCGACTTTGGCCCTCTTGGACTCGGTATTAACATGTGTCTTTTGGGATATGATCTCAAATGGAAAGCTCTACAGGTGCACCTTAGACACATTGAGATCTGAATCCCTCAGAGGTGGTTTGGGTTACATAAGGCCACCTTCTTTTGGCAGTGTGTATGCGAGTGTGTCCTTGGCCACATTTAAGGAGCGTCTACTCAAAAGGAGTGTCTGTTCCTCAAAAAGAGAGGTGATTTACAACAGCTTGAAAGATGATGAAAAGAGTTTTCTATTTCATTCTGCAGCGCTTTTTTGAAGACTTTGAAAATGAAAAAAGCTTTCCCTCTGTTCTCTTGTTACCCCCCACAAGCGCAGCTAAGAAGAGGTGAAGAGAAAATAAAGCTGCCTCATCATTGTCACTTGGTACAGTTTACACACCATTCATAATTTTGTTTATTTAAAACTAAAATCCTGACCTTTATCTATATACAGTCTATGCTTCTGACTGTGTTTATTTGCATATAGAGCAGGAAAGTGAGATTTAATCAAAAGGTGTGTTATATAAAGCTTTCCACTTGTGATCGAATCACAGAAGTCACTTGTTAAAGCTGCGAAAACACTTTTATATAAAGTGTATGTAACAGGTTTCCCTTTTTTGCCTCTAATGGAATATCTAAAACATTCATCTAAAAAGAACCAGGCTGAAGAGGCTTGCAGTATTCAGAATCTGAAACTTTGTCATTGGATTATTCAGGCAGGGATATCTTTATTTGGGATATCATGAATGCATGAAAGAGCAAAAAACGTATGTGAACAAACTGCAACTCGTAACCTGTGTACAGTAAAGAGAGAACCGGGGGACAAACCTGGTTCTTCACACACAGAACAGGAAGAGAGTCATGCTGCTCTTCAACTACAGGAAATAACCTCTGTGCTGATGACGCAGGTCTCAGGGGAGCGCTCAGCAACTTCTGCAGATCTGAAGCATACTGTACACTCCCTAACTGCACAAGCGGCAGGGCTGTGTAAAGCAGTGTAACATGTTGCAGCACGGACACGCACATACACACTCACAGCCATGCATTTCTTTGAGTGCTGTTTTGTGCCATACATTAAAAGTTAGGATTGTGTTCATCACTTAAAGGTGGGGTAGGTAATTTTGGAGAAACCAGCTCGAGTGCACTAGAATTTGAAAATACACAGCCGGAAGAAATCTGCCACTTCCTTACAGAGCCCCTCCTCCAACACACACGAACGCGCACATGACCAATGAGGGCACGAGATAAGTTTGTGCACAGATGGAAGGCTGTCAGGCAGGTAGGCCATCCAGTTACTTTAGCCGGGCCGGCTAAAATGATTGGTCGTGCTTTTTACAGTACTACGGCTTCCACAGATGACATTTCTTTATGGATTTTTTGTCAAAGCACTTAAGATATTCATTGCTATCGGGATGTTAAGAGCATTCCATGGAATATAACAAAAAGTGCATCTCGA